TTCATTTGACATTGTGTGTCTAACAGAAACCTTCCTTAGTACAACACCACAGCATTGGTTTGCGGACTTCGATATATGTTTTGCACCTGCTGTTAAACTGGCAAAATATGGTCGCTTATGCGGTGGTGTATGCGTAGGTATAAAGAAGAAGTTCAGTGAGCATTTCCAGATACTCACGATGGGGGTGGACAACTTTATTTGTATAAAGATTGGCCAAAATGTTTTTGGTTTTACCAAGGATATTATACTTATCTGCGTATATATCCCTCCCACGGGATCAAATTATTATCACACAGTTAACTTCTCTTGTGCACTCGATAAGCTTGAGGAATTCCTATTTGAAAATATTTCTTCCTTCAGTAATTGTGCAATTCTTCTTTGTGGCGATATGAATGCTAGAACTGCAAGTCAGAACAATCCGTGTTCACCTGAGGCTGAAAACGAGGCTGACGATATTATTGGTTCTTCCTTTATTGATGGGGATAATGATCCTGTCAGCGAGAGGAAATCCAGCGATAGTGTGATAAACGCTTTTGGTCGAAAATTGTTAAATATATGCTACACGTATGGATTGTTCATTGTTAATGGCAGACTACCTGGCGATGCTAAAGGTGAATTTACGTTCATAAGTGCACAAGGAAGTAGTGTAAATGACTATTTTATCTCTTCAGCTGAGTTTTTCGACATAATAGCTATGTTAAATGTGGGTCAACGTCTTGAATCTGACCACCAGCCCTTGGAGCTTTTTTGTTACTCTCCTAATTCGCTGTCAGATAAACAACCTGGCATTACACTTAATCTCGCGGAAACTTACAGGTGGAACAGTGCTTTATCAGTTCACTTTATAGCTTGCCCAACAGGCAAAGCTAATGCCTTTTTTCACAGTTTAACTGAATATATAGATACTAATCTATATATGAATCTAAATCTTAGGAAATTTAGACTTACACGAAACGACTACAACAGAAAGACTTTTTGTACTTTGAGAAATAAATATAAAGAATCATGTCGAAAATATAAGAGCAAAACAAGACATCTCCGATTGAATAAACTTAGCACTTTCACTCAAATTTCTGGTAAATTTTGGCGGGAGATTGTGGTTTGTAAGATAACAACTGACCAGTGGTTGTTACACTTCCGTTCTGTCTTTTCACATTTTCATGAAGAATATGAATGTAATGATACAGCTAGCTTGCAGGAATCTAAGGTTTGTTTGAAGACCAGTGGTTATACAGAACTTGATGCTGAAATCCTTGATTCAATAATAGCCGAAACCGAAATTGTCGATGCCATAGGAAATCTTAAAAACGGAAAATCACTTGGTCCGGACAAGATTTTAGTGGAGATGTTAAAAGCTTCCCAAGACATTATATTGCCATTTTTACATAAATCTTTTAACTATGTCTTTAAGACTGGATAGTTTCCAAGAACCTGGGCACAGTCTATCATAGTACCTCTACATAAGAAGGGTGACACCAATAACCCTGACAATTACAGAGGCATATCTCTGACGAGTAGTATTGGTAAATTGTTTACATCTATCCTCAACAAAAGATTAAACATGTGGGCTAATATTAGAGATAAAATTCCTGAAATACAAGCTGGCTTTAGGAAAGGTTATTCCACATCTCACCATATTTTTACATTGTATGCAATTGTGCAAAAGTACTTACTAAGAAGAAAACGTAAATTATATGTAGCATTTATTGACTTCAGGAAAGCATTTGACTCTGTAAATCGACAGAAATTGTGGGCTTGTCTAAAGCGGGCGGGATTAGATTGGAAAATGCTATTTATGTTACGAGGTATTTATGCCAGCGTAAAGGCTTGTGTGCGTAGCAATGGGGAATTCACTGACTATTTTGTGTGCCCACTGGGTGTGAAGCAAGGATGTTTGTTAAGCCCTTTTCTCTTTTCCTTCCTCATTAGCGAATTGGAAAATGAAATAATTCATAAAGGCAAACATGGTGTACAACTATATCCCGATATTTTGGAGATTTTAATGCTACTGTTTGCTGACGACGTGATATTAGTATCGGACTCAGTGGTAGGTTTACAGAACCAATTAGACATTCTGGAGAACTACTCGAAAGAATGGAAATTAGATGTTAATCTTGATAAGTCAAATATTGTTGTATTTAGAAGGGGTGGACTAATCGCTAATGGCGAAAAAATGGTCTTATAACGGCATTCCAATGGAAATAGTTTCTGAATACAAATATCTTGGAATACTTTGTAATTATACATTGAATATGGGTAAAACTGCTATTGCCTTATCAGCAAAAGCAAAAAAGGCTCTGGTGTATCTGCTTTCATCACTATATCCATTAGCCCCAATAACACCAAAGATGTTTTTTAAACTTTTCGATGTACAGATACAACCAATGCTTTTGTATGGGGCGGAGATATGAGGTTTCCAGACTTTTGAACCGATTGAAAAGATACATCTATTGGCATGTATGAAGTTCCTTAATGTTAAGATTACAACACCAAACTATATGGTATATGGAGAATGTGGAAGATACCCACTTTATATAAACTCTCACCTTCGCTGCATAAAATACTGGTTCAAAATACTAAAAATGCATGAACAGCGTCTACCAAGAAAGTCATATAACATGCTACTTAATTTAGATAATATTGGTTATGTAACATGGGCATCAAATATAAAATATCTGTTATTTTCGTATGGATTTGGATATGTGTGGATTTACCAAGGTGTCGGTAACGAGTGGCTGTTTATTAATGAATTTCGCCAAAGAGCCGTGGATATGTTTCGCCAGAATTGGATGAATACCCTTAATCTAAGTTCAAGATGTGATGTATATAGATCCTTTAAAACATTGATCGAACCTGAGACATATCTATCAAACATTACAAGCAAGAAACTTAGAAATACAGTTATTAGATTTAGACTTTGCTTGACAGATATAATGATCAATACTGGCCGCAACAAGTCACTCGCCAAACATCTCAGATTTTGCCCTGTCTGTATGGCGGATATCGAAGACGAACATCATATGTTATTTATATGTGACGCTTATGCCGATTTAAGAAAGGAGTACATTCCACAAAAATATCTGGGTCACCCTACAAGGGAAACACTTATAAGAATTTTATCATCAAAAGACGAATCTGTCCTTGTAAAATTAGCCCTGTTTTTAACACATTCACTGTCTTTAAGGAAGAGTCTAATTTCTCCTGTCAACTAATCTAACAATGTTATGATGCTTTCCACTGTTTGCAATGTCCATACCTTGCCTGTCATTACAATACTATGTATACGGGCCAGAGGCCTTATGTACAATAAACCATCTTGATCTTGAAGTAAACGATTGAAATAACAAGTCTTCCTTTATTTCGATAGAAATGACAATCTACCATATATGGTGCATTTTCTGGAAAGTTTTGAAAATGTAATATTTCTTTTCTTACAAACGAATGGTAGAACATTTTACAAATGACTGCTTTAATACGCTTATTTTAAGCTAATTACGTTTGATAATCGTTACCTATATCTCTGCATTGTGCTGATGTGCTGTTAGCGTTTCATTGACAACTGCAGTGCAAGGACAGTTGTAAACTCTCACCATCTGTTTATGTAGCTCACTGTGTATGGCATAAAGAACATGTCTTAAAGTCGTTACATTTTCAAATGCTAAGTTCAAAGAACACAGCCCACGTAATTCGATTGTCTTTTTTAAAAATGTCGCTTTTTATATTCAACAGGCATATTCATACAAATTCATATTCAACAAAATTGCCAGGAATTACGTTTAACGATTTAGGTATCGTTTCGGGAGATAGCCGTATAATCACATCCCTGCTGAGTGCAGCCAAACTTCCACTAACCAAAGACCCTTCACCCACAGAGTTTACTCCTTCTCCAAGGATTCATGTAAGTTAATATATATTATGGTTCTGAGTTCGATCACTGAGTATCTCTGCCCTGGCAAAACATCGAAAATAATTTTATGATGTTTGCTATATTTTTTTTAAATTTAGCAATAGCTGAGAAAACACGACAATGCGGCAACGCGACATTTTAATAAAATTGTCGCATTGTCACTTTGTCGCATTGTCACATTATCGCATTGTCACATTGTCGCATTGTCATATTGTCGCATTGTCGCATTGTCACGCTTTGTTGAAATACTTAGTATAGCATGTATTATGACGTACTGACTACAATCGCGACAACGCGACATATTTTGACCTTGAAAGTTGTCGTTATGTCACATTGTCACGCTTTGGATGAATAAGAAAATAATATCTAAAGCGCGACGTTTCGACGATGCGACAAATGACCAAAATGTCGCATTGTCATACTGTCACATTGTCGCGCTTTGGTTAATTTTGACACTTTTGTGTTGTTTTTTATGAGGGCGACAACGTAACAATGCGACAACGCGATAATGTCCCTCTAGGATTCCTAAGGCAACAAAAGTATTTAATCTTTGTGTGATTGGCGGATTCCATATGTTCCTGCAAGTCAGGGCATACATACACTTTAGCTAACACTTTGTATCATCACTGATGTTCAGTGAGTCATTCATAAACAATTTAGCCTATTATGCTTATTGGAATCTGTTTGCGTGGAAAGTTGAGACTGGTTATTTTCTAGACTTGACAATCTGTGTTTATGTTATTTACACTTCTTCTCTGTTCTTCTGATGAATCGAATAGAACGTGATGGGGCAAATAATCCAGACATTTTCTCCGAGGATATCACAAGGTTATCAGTATGATCCGTGCGCTACAGTGAATTATCAATTAGATAGCCGAGAGGTGTACCCGTTCCCCTTCACGCCCGATTCCCTACATCGGTGTCCCCAGCCATTGCGAGGCTTCTTGATAAAAAAAGCGCCAGACCAAAATATTCATTTACTCCAGGTGCACTGACACCGGTTAATGTGGAAAATACTACACACCAAACATGACAACTCCTCTGGATGACCTACTACAACAGAGCTAGAGATGGAAGTTACATCTGAACTTACCCATAAGCTGTGCTTGCAAGGGCTGCAGCCACGAAGGCGATTGCTAGCCGGCGTTGTGTGTCGGTCATGACGCAGGCGAGGACACCGAGGAGAGGGGCGCTGTACGGCAGGCTTTATAACCCCACGCATGCTACACAAGGAACTAGTATTATTGAAAAGCGGCATCAGTCACAAGCTACATGACTGGATGTTAGTTGTACACTATGGTATATTTGTCCCAAAGTAGATGCATTGTTAATTAACGCTTCTGATAGCCTCGACTTCTTGGAGTGGCATTTTAAAGGTTTGGAAGTATCATGCTGACAAATGTATGGCCAACAACGTATTGTATTTTGTCAGCGTGACGCTACGATTGAGCCCAGCGTGACGCTACGATTGAACCTCGTGTAGCGCTGTCTCAGCGAGGAGGAGGTGGTGTGTGTGTGTGTGTGTGTGTGTGTGTGTGTGTGTGTGTGTGTGTGTGTGTGTGTGTGTGTGTGTGTGTGTGTGTGTGTGTGTGTGTGTGTGTGTGTGTGTGTGTGTGTGTGTGTGTGTGTGTGTGTGTGTGTGTGTGTGTGTGTGTGTGTGTGTGTGTGTGTGTGTGTGTGTGATATTATACTGAGTGTAGCAAAACAAATAACATAATTGCCTAGGCAGTAGGTTGATAAAGCAAATGAATTTACAGTGGCATAAGGGGCGGAAACCAGATATTTTTAGACGTTTAAAAGCACAGGAACATCTGCTTGACAAATCTACAAGAGGAAATCGAACACCCGAAGAAAGTGTTTGTGGAAGTAAACCACTATCCAGCCCAAATAGTCAGCAGAACCAAGCTGCAATTCTTCCTTCCTCAGAAAGATCTAAACCAGATCCAGCCCCCATCAAGATACCCATTCCTTACATTGGTAAACCAACAGACCAAATCAGCAGGCAGGCATAGATTCTCCCTTCCCTGCATCCTCCAACCTCAACAACCTACTCATGATAAGGGAAGAAAAACACCAACCGACAACAACAACCCGAAGTGTGTTAACGTCTTTGTGTGGCATTTAGAAGTCGAACAAGGATATACAACTTCTTTACTGTGTGGAACGGACGCCTTTACTTATCGAACTTTATAAGCTATATATGTTAACAGACATATTTTTTATACTGTGAGATTTGGCTGCAACTGATCGTGAATTACATATGTTATCTCACCTACGCGTAACTTAATGCTGTCCGTAACATGTTATATTTGGGATTACACTTTCTTAGGCATGGCGTATTAAATGCAGTCCGTACAAGCATATTTGGGAAAAAAGTACATACAATATAGAAAGCACGACGACGAAGTACAAGAGTAACATATATTGATTTTGAGACATGGAAAGGGTACAGTTGTATACTAGTTTTAAATGTCCCATGGGCGTCAGACAAGGATGTGATATGAGTACGATGTTGTTCTCTGTCTATACAAACGAGTTAGCAACCGGAACTGAATTCTCAAACTGTTATGTGAGGCAGCTCATGCCATACGTTGTGAAACTGTACTTACCACTTTTTGCTGATGACATTACATGACTAGAAATTGCTTGCAAAGATTTTACAAAAGCAATTAGGTAATTCTATCTGATTTCTCTGATTTATCTAAAATTAAAACGAGTAAATCCAATATAACGGTATTCTGAAAAGGCAAGAAACTATCAGCTAGAGTAAAATCGCTTTTTAAAGGTACTGAACATGGAATATATTTTATTTCATCTTTGTCATGGAAATATGTTGTAGGTCAACCTGCTGTTAACTCAAAAATATTTTTGGGTAGTGTGGTAGATTCAACTTTGTATTGTATACAGTTGTAAATATAATAAACATGTGAATCTTTTAAAATGTGTGTCATATTATGATGAGATATACAATCTCATTAAATAACCTAAGTGTAATCATTTTATCAATAATTTTATATTCAACATTGTATATCACACCCTTAGCCCTTCTAAACATCAATCTAATCTTAAATGTAATCTATTTCAGCAATACTCATTTGCACTGCATGCTTTTCTCCCTGCAATCCCTTCTAAAGCTTGTCCCTTGCTCAGGCTAGTGTGTAATTTCTATTGTTCTCTGTTCAGCCAAGCGTATAAGGTATTAGGTATTTAAAGGTTAATTTCATCTAGTCTCTTGGTCAGTATCTTATGTGGTTGTCATCGCGCATGTTGCGGTTTAGTCTCTAGGATCGAGATCATGGTGATCTGGACTGTGTTTTTCCCATGTATATAAGATGGCGTAAACACCAGCAGTATCACCTATGCATTGAATGCAGGAGCTCAGGTCATACCAACCTGGCTAAAGCTTTTGTTTATTACATTCTTGTAATAAAAGTCCACCCGCCTCACACCCCAGTGGCTTTGTGGTTCTTGTCACTACAATAACTACATCCTGACGCTGCTACAGTAGTATTTTATGTGGTCTAAGTAACGGTAACGCCCGACTGAGTCAATTCTTTTCCCCTTATTTTAGATACTAAAATGCTGCCTATCTTGAGTTATTACTGCAAAATAATAGGACTTAAACAATTTGAAACTGTAGAAAAGATACAAATAACAGCATGTAAAAGTTACCCACAGCTGCATATGAAGACACATAGGGTCAAAGTGGAGGCTGCCCTGTACTCGTATACACATAGGGTCAATGTGGAGGCTGCCCTGTACTCGTATACACATAGGGTCAATGTGGAGGCTGCCCTGTACTCGTATACACATAGGGTCAATGTGGAGGCTGCCCTGTACTCGTATACACATAGGGTCAATGTGGAGGCTGCCCTGTACTCGTATACACATAGGGTCAATGTGGAGGCTGCCCTGTACTCGTATACACATAGGGTCAATGTGGAGGCTGCCCTGTACTCGTATACACATAGGGTCAATGTGGAGGCTGCCCTGTACTCGTATACACATAGGGTCAATGTGGAGGCTGCCCTGTACTCTTGTATACACATAGGGTCAATGTGGTGTACTCGTATACATATAGGGTCAATGTGGAGGCTGCCCTGTACTCGTATACACATAGGGTCAATGTGGTGGCTCCCCTGTACTCTGGTACTCGTATACACATAGGGTCAATGTGGAGGCTGCCCTGTACTCGTATACACATAGGGTCAATGTGGAGGCTGCCCTGTACTCGTATACACATAGGGTCAATGTGGTGGCTGCCCTTAAAAGTGGCAGTGGGAGTTATGACATGACGTATGTGTTAGTGGGAGTTATGACATGACGAATGTGTTAGTGGGAGTTATGACATGGCGTATGTGTTAGTGGGAGTTATGACATGACGTATGTGTTAGTGGGAGTTATGACATGACGTATGTTGTAGTGGGAGTTATGACATGACGTATGTGTTAGTGGGAGTTATGACATGACGTATGTGGTAGTGAGAGTTATAACATGACGTATGTGATAGTGGGAATTATGACATCATGTATGAGGTACTGGGGGCTATGACATGACGTATGTGTTAGTGGGAGTTATGACATGACGTATGTGTTAGTGCGAGTTCTGACTTGACAAATATGGTAGTGGGAGCTATGACATGACGTATGTGGTAGTGGGAGTCATGACATGATGTACGTAGTAGTGAGAGTTATAACATGACGTATGTGGTAGTGGGAGTTATGGCATGACGTATGTAGTAGTGAGGTTTATAACATGGCATATTTGGTAGTGAGGGTTATAACATGACGTATGTGATAGTGGGAATTATGACATGATGTATGAGGTACTGGGAGTTATGACATGACGTATGTGTTAGTGGGAGTTATGACATGACGTATGTGTTAGTGGGAGTTATGACATGACAAATATGGTGTGGGACCTATGACATGAAGTATGTGTTAGTGGGAGTTATGACATGACGTATGTGGTAGTGGGAGTCATGACGTATGTGGTAGTGGGAGTCATGACATGATGTACATAGCAGTGAGGGTTATAAAATTACGTATGTGTTAGTGGGAGTTATGACATGACGTATGTGTTAGTGGAAGTTGTGACATGACAAATATGGAAGTGGGAGCTATGACATGACGTATGTGTTAGTGGGAGTTAGACAATGTTATGGACGTGGGAGTAAGAACTATGACATGACGTGTGTTAGTGGAAGTTGTGACATGACATATATGGTATTGGGAGCTATGACATGACGTATGTGGTAGTGGGAGTAATGAAATGACGTATGTGGTAGTGGGAGTTAAAACATGACGTACGTGTCAGTGGGAGTTATGATATGACATGACGTATCGTATGTGTTAGTGACATGACGGTGGTATAACATGACGTATGTGTAGTGGGAGTTAGTGTGGAGTTATGACGTAGTGGGATGACGTATGTGGTAATGACAAATGTGTTAGGGACGTCATGTAGGGATTATGACATGACGTATGTGTTAGTGGGAGTTATGACATGGGAGTTATGACACTAGAACTATGACATGACGTATGTGGTAGTTATGACATGGTAGTTAGTGGGAGTTATGACATGACGTATGACATGACGTATGTCAGGAGTGACATGACGTATGTGGTAGTGGGAGTTAAAACATGACGTACGTGTCAGTGGGAGTTATGACATGACAGTATCTGGTAGTGAGGATTATAACATGACGTATGTGTTAGTGGGAGTTATGACATGACGTATATGTTAGTGGGAGTTGTGACATGACAAATATGGGAGTGGGAGCTATGACATGACGTATGTGTTAGTGGGAGTTATGATATGACGTATGTGTTAGTGAGAGTTATGACATGACAAATATGGTATTGGGAGCTATGACATGACGTATGTGGTAGTGGGAGTTATGACATGACGTATGTGGTAGTGGGAGTTAAAACATGACGTACGTGTCAGTGGGAGTTATGATATGAAGTATCTGGTAGTGAGGGTTATAACATGACGTATGTGTTAGTGGGAGTTATGACATGACAAGGAGTTATAACATGTATGTGCTACTGAGAGGGCCATATGACATGACGTATGTGGTAGTGGGAGTTATGACATGACGTATGTGTTAGTGGGAGTTATGACATGACAAATATGGTAGTGGGAGCTATGACATGACGTATGTG